GAGATCCGAGTCGATGAATCCGGAGACAGAGAAATCTGAACAATCGGTTGGAAGGTTCGAGTCGCATCTTCGCGACGACGTGTTATTGACTTCTGATGACTCTCCGGCGAGAAACGATGAAAGTATCGACGATTCTGATCCGCACAGCGCGCGAGTGACTGCGAGAAAGGAAAGCACAAGCTCCCAAGAGGGTGTAGAATTTTCAGAAGAGAGGCACAACGAGTCCAACGAGCACGTTGAGCAAATACATGGAAATTACTCTGTCTCTGAGAGGGAGACACGGAAGCACGCGAAATACGCAATAAATGACCACTTTGAAGGAAGAACTGCCAAGATTAAAAACGATGAAATATTTAAAGAAGACCGTTGGAACGCCGAGCACGAGAAGTCGTATGTAACTCGTGACAGGGCTTCAGCCGAGGGAAATAAATCGAGGCGGCAAGAATACGAGACGACGTCTCGCGAACAATCTTTGAACGCGCACGGGGAACGTGATACGTCAGAAAATAAAGGCAAAGAAAATGAGAGAGTTACCTCGCGCGAGGATGCAGCAAGCGCTGATGAAGCACCCGACGGTAAATATAACCTGAAAGCGGATCGCGTGGAAACAAACGAAAAGACGAAGCAAAGAAAATACGAAGAAGCTGACGAAACGGAGGAAATGCGACTATCGTCCGTTGAAACGGAAATAAACGAGGCGAGTGGCGGCAGTGAGAAGCGCTACGAGAAATTATCGTCCAGCGAAGGAATTGCCGAAGGGAAAGACTTTGAAATGACGGGCGATACGTCGGGAGACAATAACAGGAAAGACGTAAGATCCAGTCGAACGCGCGATAAAAACACGTCGTCGATGAAGGGAAATAACGCATTAATAAAGGGAACGCAATTACGAAGAGATGGCGTGCCATCAAGGATAACGGTCACCGCGCAAGAGCTGGCATTTGTGAGCGGCGAAATTTACGAAAAGAATAATGGAGCTAGTGCATCATCCGCGGGAACGAATAGCACGGGGAAGGGATCGTCTAACGATCCGGGAATTCGCGAGGAAAACAACGGAACGTACCTCGCGCGTAAACTCAATAAATTACCAGAGGACGCGATAAAATTGTTCAATATCAAGAGCGATCGGCCTTCCAATGGTTCCAATTTCGTTATATCTTCGAATGCAATTAACGAAAGATCGCGGGAGGACAGCGAGAGAATTTTGCTAGGAGATTCAAACGAGAATCGAGCGACGAATCTGTCAAGTATCGAGCGTCTGACGAATTTTGAAGACGAATCCTCCACGACGATTGACGATGCACGCGTTAGGGAGCTACAAGGTGAAAACAAAGCGTCTCGCTCGAACGAAACCGACACTTTCAGAGTGAGAACCGACACGAACTCAGAGAACGACTCTGCGAACAGAACTGCTGATAAAGATCAAATCGAAACTCGTGGTTCGCTGGTGAATTTCAGCGATTTGAGTAATACAGGTGTTGGTGATACACGTGGATATTCTGATGGAGGGAACAACAACTCGCTTGCGTCTCAGGAAATATCGAAAGAAGGAAACGTGATTGACAAAAATAAAGCGCCGAGAATTTATACGCAAAAGGAACACGCAATAGAAAACAAAACACGTGTCGAAACAGAAAAGTCTGAAATAAAAGCGACGAATGAGGTAAAAAACTCTTTGGAGATACCGAACGAAACAGCTGATCGATCAGTTGTTAAATCAGGTGAATCTGAAAGGAATGAATATGACAAATCTTTGGCAAAAGAAATCGGATCAAAAACGCACAATTTAAGCGAGGACAACAACTTTGGAAGTGCACGTAATATTAATACCAAAGTTAACAAAAGTGTTCACGAAGATGTTGTTTCGAACGCAAGTGGTCAGAAGTTCCTAAAGT